CAGAGGGAGAAGCAGGCTCCTCGCTGAGCAGGGAGCCCGATGCAGGACTCGATCCAGGGACTCCAGGATCATGACCTGAGCCGAAGGCAGTCACTTAACCAATTGAGCCACCCAGGCGCCCCTATTTTTATGTATTTATTTTTAATGATGTATAGTTGACATTCAATATTATAGTAGTTTCAGGTGCAGAGATAGGGATTTAAAATTTATACACAGTATGCTATGATCATTGTGATAAAGCTCATTACCATCTATCACCATGAAAAATTAATACAGTGTTATTGGCTATATTCCCTGTGCTGTAATTGTAAATGTGTAAGTCACATCCCTGTGACTTATTTATTTTATACTGAGAAATTGCACCACTGACTTACTTTCACCTCTTTCAGCCATCCCTCCTGCCCTCTCCCCTATGGCAATTGCAGCTATAGTCTCTCTACATATGAGTCTGTTTCTGTTTTCTGTGTTTGTTTTTAAGTTCTACATTACCAGTTAAATCATACAGTGTTTTGCCTTTGTCTGACTAATTTTATTTGCATAAAACCTTGTAGGTCCATCAAAAAGAATTTCATTCTTTTTTATCTGTTAGGAATATCCCTTTGCATATATATGATGCTTCTATTTATTCATTCATCTATATATGGACACATGGGTTGCTTCTATATCTTGGCTATTGTAAGTAATACTGCAATAAACAGAGGGTGCATACACCTCCTCAAGTTAATGTTTTCATTTTCTTCAACTAGATACCCTGAAGTGGATTTTCTGGATATTATGGTACTTCCGCTTTTAAATTTTTGAAGAATCTCCATACTGTTTTGAATTGTGACTACACCAATTTAAATTCCCACCAACAGTGCACAAGGTTCCCTTTTCTCCACATCCACACCAGTATTTGTAATACTTGTCTTTTCAGTTCTGATAGGTGTGAGGTGAGATCTTTCATCATTGTTTTGATTTGCATTTTCCAGATGATTAGTGATGTTGGGGATCTTTTCATGTGTT